TCTGGACGTGATTAAGACCCGCAGGTAGGGCCTGGAGGCGCACAAATACCGGAACTCGATGGACTGCCTCTGGCAGATCCTGAGAAAGGAGGAGCTCAAGGATTCTACAAGGGCATTGTCCCGCTCCGGGCCAGGTCAGCCTGGTTGTGGCCATAGTGTTTATCATCTATGACGAGGTGGTGAAGCTGCTCAACGAAGTGTGGAAGACGGACTAAGCCCAGTGGGGCCACAGGGGACCGCCCCAGGCACCTCCAGAGGCCCCACCACCCTTGTCTCACATGATTCCAGTGCAGTAGTGCCAAAAGGCTCCTTCCTACATCCCTCGAGCTCTGTGACCTGGTCTGTGCATTGTGGCCATCAAGTCCATGTGTCCCATAGTGCCGTGTCTCCCCTGTGGTCTGTGTGTAACACCACCACTGTATCCCAGTGTCTGGCCCAGCCCTGCTTGGTATGCATCTGGCCTGTGAACCTGTGCCTACTTGTCCATGTGCTTACTGTGAGCCTGTGCCTGTGTTTCAGGTTCTGTGTCATGTGACCCGGTGCCCCGCCTCCTGGGGTGCCCTGTGGCCTGGGTCCCAGTCCGGTGCTTTTCACCCTCCACGGGCCTATCACTGCTGCCTCTGGGCCTGCCCCTGGCTTCTCCGCATTCCAGGGTCTGCTACACCCCCCGGCTCCCGCCTTTGGCCTTAACTGGCCCTTAGGCCCTCCCTCCACCCAGGACAGGGTGGCACCCACCACTCTCAGGACCACCGTGCCAAGGCAGAATTTTTAAAAAAAGATATTTTGCCAAGGTTGAGTACGCACACCCATGACACAGCCTCAGGAAGTCCTGACCACATGTGCCCAAGGTGGTCAGGGCAGTTTGGTTTCATATATTTTAGGGAGACATGAGACATCAATCAACATATGTAAGATGAACAATGGTTCCGTCTGGAAAGGTGGGACAACTGGAAGCAGGGAGGGGGCTTCCAGGTCATAGGTAGATAAGAGACAAAAGGTTGCATTCTTTTGAGTTTCTGATTAGCCTCTCGGAAGGAGGTAATCAGATACCCATTTATCTCAGTGAGTAGAGGGATGACTGAATAGAATGGGAGGCAGGTTTGCCCTAAGCAGTTCACAGCTTGACTTTTCCCTTTAGGTTTGTGATTTTGGGGGCCCAAGATATTTTCCTTTCACAGGATCAAGGGAAAAAAATAAATTCAAAGTAAAGGTAAGAAAATACAGATGAGAACACTGTTTCAGGAAAAACTGTCTCAAACTGTGTTTTTCCTTTACTTTCCCACCACAACAATCAACACAGAGGACCTTGTTTTAAAAATTTTATATTTTTTTACCCAAAACAAAAATAGTCAATAATACAGAAGACTTCTGTGCTCAAATGTGGGTTTTTCTGCCACATGCCAAGCAGTAGACACCAGCTGGGTGTTCTCCAATTCAGTTCCAACACGATCAACCTGGAGATGGTGTCAGAACCCACAGGGTGAGGGGGCTCAGTCCCCAAGACTGCCCCCCTTAAACCCCAAAATCAGAGTGGCGGGGAAACATTAGAGTCCTGCCTTGGGGCAAGTGAAAGGAAGACAGGAGAGAGATTCTGTTTACTGAGGCCTGCTGGTTGGGTCTAACACATCCAACATTATAACAACAAAAGATTGTAACAAGGTGTTCCTAGAACAGGTAATTTTAAAAAAAAGAAAAAAAACCGCAACAATGGATATGGGAATGATGAACCAGGAATTACAGATGGAAACTATATATCATAACACCACAAGCAGAAACCAATTAAAGAGAAAGCTGACGTACACAGGAGAAAATCAACAAACCCAAAAGTTGGTTCTGATAAACCCTAGTGTAGTGCCTGATGGGTTCATCTTACCTGCTGCCCAGAAAGCCCAACACACTGAGAACAGCAGGTTTTTTGCAGCAAAGAAAGAGTTTAATTCGGCCGGGCATGGTGGCTCACGTCTGTAATCCCAGCACTTTGGGAGGCCAAGGTGGGCGGATCACCTGAGGTCAGGAGTTTGAGACCAGCCGGGCCAACATGGTAAAACCCTGTCTTTACTAAAAATACAAAAACTAGCCAGGCATGGTGGCACATGCCTGTAGTCCCAGCTACATGGGAGGCTGAGGCAGGAGAATCTCTTGAATCCGGGAGGCAGAGGTTGTGGTGAGCTGAGATCACACCATTACACTCCAACCTGGGCAACAGAGCAAGACTCTGTCTTTAAAAAAAAAAAAAAAAGAAAGAAAGAAAGAAAGAAAAGAGTTTAATTAATGCAGGGCTAACCAAGCAGAAGATGGACTTTATTACTCAAAACAGCTTCCCAGATAACTCAGAGGCTAGGGTTTTTTTAGATAATTTGGTGGGCAGGGGGCTAGGGTATGAGTGCTGCTGATTGGTTAGAGATTACATTGTAGAAATGTAGAAACCAGTCCTTGTGTGCTGTGTCAGCCTCTGCGTGGGGGCCACAAGAGTCATGAGCCACAGGTCCATGTGGAGTCAGTCAGTAGCCAGAGTGCAAAAGTCTGAAAACATCTCAAAAGACCCATCTTAGGTTCTACAATAGTGATGTTTTCTATAGGAGCGATTGGAGAAGTCACAAATCTTGTGACCTCTGGCCACATGACTCCTGAGCAGTAAGGGATTATAGAAAAGCAATCTAGGGAACAATGGTTAGTTATCTTTACACCTACATTTTAGTAGAATTCAGTCTCCTCTCATAACCCTAATCTTGTGACTTTTCATTGGTCTTACAAAGCTGGTTTCAGTCCCAGAACAAAGAGGGGATGAGTTTTACGGAGGACTGTTATTATTTTTGCTTCAATGCTAAACTATAAACTAAATTTCTCCTATTGTTAGCTTGGCCTATGCTGAGGAATAAGCAAGGCCAGCCTGCCTGTGAGTCTAGAAGCAGGATGAAGTCAACCATGATAGACTTCTCTCACTGTCATAATCTTTGCAAAGGCAGTTTCAGTTCAAAACCAGCCTGGGCAACGTAGTGAAACCCCATCTCTACAAAAATGTAAACATTAGCTGGGTGTGGTGGTGCATACCTGTCGTTTGTTTTAGCTACTTAGGAGGCTGAGGCAGAAGGTAGCTTGAGCCCAGGAGTTTGAGGTTACAGTAACTTATGATCATGCAACTATACCCCAGCCTGGGTGATAGAGGGAGACCCTGTCTCTAAAAAAGTAAAAATAGACCAGGAGCAGTGGCTCACACCTGTAATCCCAACACTTTGGGGGGCTGAGGTGGGACGATTGCTTGAGCCTAGGAGTTTGAGACCATCCTGGGAAAAACAGTGAGACCCCATCTCTACAAAAATAAAAATTAAAAACTTAGCCAGGCCTTGATGGCATGTGCCTGTGGTTCCAGCCACTTGGGAGGCTAAGGTGAGAGGACTGCTTGAGTCCTGGAGGTTGAGGCTGCAGTGAGCTGTGATCATGACATTGCACTCCAGCCTGGGTGACAGAGCAAGACTTTGTCCCCCAAAAAAAGTAAAAATTAAAAAAGAAAGGAAAATGTTGAAGAAACTAAACATCAACAAGAATACAGAGCACCTCAAACTTTCATATAATTGGTGGCGAGAATGTAACTGGGAATGAACACTGAAATATGTTTTACCAGTATGTATTAAACCTGAACATGTATATACACATATATATACACTACATGACACAGCAGTTCCACTTTGGGCTTTATATCCAACTGAAATGAATGCTTGTGTTCACCAGAAGACATGTATAAGACTGTTCCCAGCAGCTGTAATGATAATAGCTAAAAACTGGAAACAACCCCAATGACTATCAGTAATAAAACCTGTAAGTCAATTGTGCTATTCCCACTACTAAGCACTCAACAACAAAAAAAGTAAATTGTGCTTAATCACACTATGGAATATAACACCACATAAAGAAGAATAAACTACTGACACATGTAGCTATAATATATAAGTGAATCTTACAGATGTAATATTGAAAGAAGGCAGACATACAGTATGATTCAATTTAATAAAGCTCAAAAAGAAGACAAGCAACAAATCTATGATGACAGAAGTCAAAACAGTGGCTATCTTTGTGGCGGGTAATGACTAGGATGAGACATGAAGGGCTTTTCTGGTTATCTTGATCTCAGTGGTAATTAACCTGGGTGTGCTCACTTTGTAAACATTCATCAAGCAGGACTCTTAAGGTTTGTGTATTTGACGGGTGTATCTTACACTTCAAAATGGAGTGAAGTTGCCATTTTTAAAAGAATGGTAAACTTGTTATAGATAAAATTTATCTCTATTTTTCTCAGAAAAAAAAAAAAATTACTTTCCACTGGGACAAATCAAACTGGGGCAAATCAAACAGCTTCTAGTAACCAACAAAAACAGCCTATGTGGCAACTCTGATTTCAGCAGGTCAACAGAAATTGATTTTTTCTCTCACACTTGGAGAGTTTGGATCATGAGATTAAAGCAAGTCAGTCATAACATGGTAAGAATCTCACCTAATTTGTTAGTTGTGGCCGTTTTTCAGTCCACAATCTGAGTCAGAAGAAAATATCAAGTGACTATATAAGGAAAACGCCTGTGCTTCCAAGACAAGGATACCCTCTCTCACCACTCCTATTCAACATAGTATTGAAGTTCTGCAAGGGCAATTAGGCAAGAGAAAGAAAGAAAGTGTATTCAAATAGGAAGAGAGGAAGTCAAATTGTCTCTGTTTGCAGATGACATGATTGTACATTTAGAAACTCCATTGTCTCAGCCCAAAATCTCCTTAAGCTGATAAGCAACTTCAGCAAAGTCTCAGGATACAAAATCAATGTGCAAAAATCACAAGCATTCTTGTACACCAATAATAGACAGAGAGCCAAATCATGAGTGAATTCTCATTCACAATTGCTACAAAGAGAATAAAATACCTAGGAATACAGCTTACAAGGGATGTGAAGGATTTTTCAAGGGAAACTACAAACCACTGCTCAAAGAATTAAGAGAGGACACAAAAAAATGGAAAAACATTCCATTTTCATGGATAGGAAGAACCAATATCATGAAAATGGTCATACTGCCCAAAGTAATTCATAGATTCAGTGTTATCCCCATCAAGCTACCATTGACTTTCTTCACAGAATTAGAAAAAACTACTTTAAATTTCATATGGAACTAAAAAAGAGCCCATATAGCCATGACAATCCTAAGCAAAAAGAACAAAGCTGGAGGCATCACGC